TTCCACCGGAGAATTGAGAAAGGCATCCCCGCCCAGGTGCGCGGCAAGGTGTGGGCCATGATGCTCTCTGTGGATACCAGGAAGGCCCAGAACCCTGGCAAATTCGAGGTATGGCTCTGCGTGCAACCTGAGGCAGGCCGACCCGCTCGGGCCTGCTCAGGAGCGCGAGGCTCCCGCGTGGTGGACAAGTAATGCCAAGGAGGAGTGGTCATTTGGTTGGGGCCCCCACCCGGCCCTCCCCTCTGCCTCCTCCACGTCTCCCCCACACAAATGGGCCTGGACACAAGGATCCCGTCAGGGCCACAGCCCTCATCCCTGTGGTCCTGCCTTTGCTCTAGGCCCAGGACTGCCCAGTGCCATTATGCTGGGTCCTGAATGGATAGAGATGGCCTGGAATGAGGTGGAAGTCCTGTGTGCTAGGGCCCGCAGCTGGCTCTGTTCTAAATGGCCGTCCCCACACCTGACCCTGCTTGTGCGTTTCTTATGCTCGCCGGGCCCTGCCCTCACCTGGGCCTTCTCATGCCTGGCCTGGCCAGGCCTCAGCTCACCCAGCCCCGACCTGGCCTGCTGGTTCCATCGGTCAGAGTCAGCTCTCAACTGCTTCTGGGAATGCGGGCTGATCCATCAGAGGGCTGGCCCGGGAATGACTGTCATCTCCCTGGCTGACATCAGGGAGCAAGGAGCAACTGAGCTGCCAGTCCTGCCCTCCCCCAAGTCTTCAAGTGGGGGCTGCCTCTGGGGCCAGCTCCAAGTCCAAGAATGGTGTCCACTCTCTTGATGGAGCTGGGGCTCTCCTGCAGGGGGCAGCCCTGAAGGCTGGTCAGGGTGAGGCTGACTCCTGTCCTGTGGGGCCTGAGAGCCCAGTGAGGAGGCTCGGAGGCCTGATTGGGTCTCAGCTGCTCTGGGAAGGCAGAGGTAGCACAGGACATTGGCAGAGCCCCTGGCCTCAGGCTGACTGTAGTGGGTCCACAGTGGCCCCCTCTGCTGGACACTGGGGGTGGCGTGGGCCCTAAGGTGAGTGGGGAACCCATGACCCTCCCTGGATCAGGGGAATGAGCTGCCCCCAGAAAAACTCTCCCTGCCAACCAGAAGGGCTGCTGTGGCTTTGGGGTGCTTGTGTGGCAGTGGGGGTTGGCTCGTCCTGAGGCCGGCCCCTCCCCCTCGGCCCTGCCCTGCAGGAGATGAAGGAACGGGCCAGGTTGTGCTCAGATCAAGTCCAACAGATCGATGAAGAGGTAGCACGCACGTTCAGAAGTCACATCATGTTTCGAGAGCGATACGGAGCCAAGTGAGGCCTCTGGGCTCGAGGGGCCCGGGGGGAGGGAGGTGCAAGGGTCCTGGGACACATGGGGTCCTAGGAGAGACGTGGGCTCACACCTAAAGCATAATTCCTCTAGGACAGAAAAAAATGGACCCATGGCCTTCTATTTATACTGAACAGTTCGCTTTCCCAAAGACACTTTGGTGGGAATGAAATGAAAAGGAACACAAGGGGAGACAGTATTTACAAAATACAGAAAATGAAGTTATAAATCTCAATAATAAGAAAGCAAATGAGGGTTCCCTGCCCTGACATGGGCCAAGGCTCAGGAGGGCCCGTTCGTGACTGCACACACAACTCTCCTACTCAACGCGTGAACGCACGCTTAGCACCTAAACCACAATGGGGCACCAGCGCACAGCTGTGAGAATGGGGGAACTTAGACCACCGAGGACGCCGGGTGCTGGGGAGAACGTGAGGCGAGCCCCGCTCTGGTTCACTGCAGGAACAGAGCACAGTGCCCAGGCCCCCGGCAGCACCCAGGGCTGTTTCTCACAATGAGAGACACACACCTTCCACACGAACCCCCAGCACGCACGCACATTCACACAACTACTAGAACAGTTGAGTGCAAGAAAACCTTCATGCAAGATTCAGGGTTGTGTTCAAAGTCACTGGACGCAGGCGTAGCCTGCACGATGCTCAGTGGGGAAACGGATAAGCAACCCGTGTCACAGCTGAATCCTAGAACGGGATTCAGTGAGAGGCAGGACGAGGCTCGGCCCTGGGCTCACCTGGATGCATCTCAGGTGCATCCTGCTAAGAGAGGACGCGTCCCTCTAAGACTACACGTGCTGTGATCCACTCACAGGACATCTGCAAGAGGCCAAATCCGGGACACACAACAGGGCAGTGGTGGCCACGGGCTGGGGGAGGTGGGGAGTTTGGCCACAGGGGGCTCATGGGGAACACATAGGCCACAGGAGCTGCTCTCTACCAGAATGAACGTGCATGGGAGGCTGACTCTCCACGGCTTAGACCCACGGGACTGCACCTCCCACAGTGGGACGCTCACCTCTGCAATGAACACCCACCTGGGGAAACGAAACTGCACATGACTGCACCCTGGGGATGTGCATGTCCCTGCAGGCAGTGCTCACCCACACGGTGGACAACACGCAGGTGCCCTGATGACGTCACTGCTCATGAGCAGAGTGTCACGGGCGCTGCGTGTGGCTGTCAGGCTCTGTTAGGCAGAGCCACACTGAGAGCCTCGGCAGCACAGGACGCACAGCCTCTGTCCTCTCTCTTCCAGCCAACGCTCCTTATTTGAGGTGCTCCTCGCATACTCGATGTACAACCCCGTGAGTATTCTGCGATAACGTTCCAAGGTCATATCCAGAGCTGTCCATGCAGGGCGCCCCTGGTCACTGAGATCCTAGCCTGGGTTGAGGGGGCCTCTCTAATCCACAAGGCAGAGACCGAGGGGTAGAGTTCAAGCTCATGGCCTCCTTGGCCACAACCTCAAGTTCTGGGGGCAGAACGGAAGCCTTCTCCTGGGCTGGGCTCTGTTCTAGCCCAGGCAGGCCTTACTATGGTGCTTCTTCCTCAGGTCTGTAGTGGGGCCCAGCAGGGCCCCTGTGCAGCAGAGAGCTCCAGAGGCCATCACGGGTGTGCAGTCTGCACTCCCACAACAGTCTTCCCCTTCCTGACATCTGGGGTGGGGCTCATACCTCTTCTTAACCCTGCGCAGCCTGCGCTCAGACCCTGCAGGATTCTCTGCAGGAACTCTGAGAGCCGGCGTGTGCTCCAGTCCCTGAGATCCTGACACCCAAGGGGCAGCAGTGGGGCCTGGTGGTAATGCTCAGCCCTCCCAGGAGAGGTCACCCTTGCCACTTGACATCATCCCAGCCAGGGAGGTCCCTCTGATGTGTTTTGTGTTCTTCCAGGAATTGGGCTACAGCCAGGGCCTAAGCCACGTGGCAGCCCTGCTGCTGATGTGGCTGAGTGAAGAGGATGCTTTCTGGGCCCTAGTCCAGCTCATGGGGGACAGCCAGCACGCGATGCATGGTGGGTGATGGGTGTGGTGGGCGTGGTCCTGCAAGTGCAGGGATGGGCATGCAGACAAGTGACTGGGACATTGTCCCTCGCTGGCTGCTGCGTGCATAGGGGAGTCTCCCTCGGGATGGTTCCTTAGGAGCCAGGGCCAGCAGAGGGCCCAATACCAAGCCATACCCCTCACTTGCCATCACACAAAGGTCCTGTGCCTTGTCTTTGACAAATGACCCTTAGGTCCCTACTGGCCTCACTGCTTCACATCTCTAGTCAGACTCCCACCCACTGCGCCACACCCTTGCAGAAGGAGCATCCATTCTAGGGTGGCCCCTCCTCACCCTGAGTGTCCAGATGGCCCTGAGGCACCCAGTGTGAGGGCAACCTGCCCTGGGCTGTCAGCTGTACCCCCCTTCCCCTGATGCTCCCCTGCCTGTTAGAGCCTCCCCTGACCCTCCGTGCTCAGCAAGACCCCGCCGCAAGCCTTTGGCTTTCCAGCCTTCCTGGGAAGACACTCTGAATGAGGGCTGGGGGGTTGCTATTACTCAGATTTCTACACACCAGACTCCCCAAAACTGGAGCGATTCCAGCACCACCTGGGAGACATCATGCATCGCGTGCTGCCCTCCCTGGAGAAACACCTGGTAAGTAAACATCTCCTTTCTCCCCTCGGGGGCTCTGTGCTCAGGGAGGGGAGGACAGAGAGGGGTCCTGACTGCTTCCTGGGCCAGGGGAGGCTACGTCCTCACCAAGGCTTTTCTTGGTTACTGGGGGCCGCGGCAGCTTGGGTGCTGGTTTGATTTCCAGCACTTGGTCCCCCAGAGTTTGTGTAGATTGCAGGGAGATGCTGTCCCCAGGGCAGAGTGGACTGAGGGACCTGTGTCCCTTCAGGAATCTGCATGGCTGGGAGAGGGGATGCACCTGCTCTTGGGCTTCCTGCACCCAGGGGCTCTGCCACAGGGCTCAGATTAGAGCGAGTCAGGCCTGGGCCCTGGGCCCTGAGCCCACTCTGCCTCTTCTTAGGAGGAGGAGGGTGTGTACCTTGAGGACTACACCGCACACTGGTACATCCAGTGCTTCCTGGATGGGGTAAGTGCCCCGGGGACCCCTTGCCCAGGGAAGCTCCTGCCCCAGTGCCTGGCTCTCCTGTCGTGGTGGCCTCTGACTCTGAGCTCCCCCAGCCCCAGCAGACACAGGAGGGAGTCTGCTGTACAGACCAGGCAGGCCCTGTCCTGCTGAGGGTGGTCCAAGCTGAGGCTGAGCCTCAGGGCCAGCAAGGAGGGGACAGGTCCCACCAGGACCCATCCTGAGAGCCTGGCAAAGGCCAGAGCCCTACAGTGAGAGGCAGGAGATCCACAGACCCTGGGTGCCACAGGCTGCTTTCAGCACAGCCCAAGGGCTGACCCCTCCCCCAGGTGCCTGGGCTGTCTGGCATCTCCAGGGTGGCTTCCAAAGTGTGCAGAGCAGTCTGCGTGGCCCCAGGGTCCTGGATAGGCCTTGGTGCTCTTTCTCTCTGGGCTTCTAGGACACAGCTAGGATGCCCTATGACACTGCACACCCACCCACGGTGGGCCCTGCTGAGGCCCTGACGCGCGGGGTCCTCCAATGCCTCTGTCCCCCAGGTGCCGTTCCCCCTGGCACTTCGGATGTGGGATATTTACATCCTTGAGGGCGCACATGTACTCACCGGCATGGTGTACACCGTCCTCAAGGTCCACCGAAGTAAGTCCTCAGGGCCCACAGAGGCCTGGGTGCTGGGGATGGAGGAGTTGGGGGGGGTCCCATGCTTGGCCCGGGTGAGCAGAACCTAGGGGAGGGACAAGTTTTCTGAGTTCTTGGCCAGCTTAGGGGCATTGCGAATCCCGTTTCATCCCCAACCCCAAAAAATGGTGCCTCCCAGCCTGACACCCACCCCCATGTCTAGAGCCCGTGTTGAAGATGCCCCGGGACCACATCCAGGAGTTCCTGCATGTGCTCCTTCCCCACTGCCTGGCTCTCTTGTGTCCTGTGACTCTGAGCAGGGCTGAGCTCCCCCAGCCCCAGCAGACACAGGAGGGAGCCTGCTGTGCAGACCAGGCAGGCTCTGTCCTGCTGAGGGTGGTCCAAGCTGAGGCTGAGCCTCAGGGCCAGCAAGTGGGGGACAGGGCCAGAGTCAGGGGTTGCAGCAGGAACAAGGGTTGGAGCAGCCATGGTGGCTGCACCATCCCTAGGGCTCCTCCTAGCCCGATGCCCACCCCCATGTCTAGAGCGTCTGCTGAAGATGTCCAGAGACCACATCCGGGAGTTCCTGCAGGTGACCCTGAAGCAGGCCTGGTCACTGAGCGAGGATGCGGTCATCAGGCAGCTGCGGGCCTCCATGCGTGAGCTGGGGAAGCTCCAGTGCCTCCTGCCTCCCGAAGGTGAGTCCAGCACACGGCCCCGTCCCATGCTCCCTTGGGGGAGTAAGCAGTGGGAGACCCAGGCCCTGGCAGCCCGCCCAGGGCCTCCCCTCTTCCTAGTCCTCCTTGTCCTCCCCGGGCTCAGCAGTTCTGAGGTGTCCCTGTCATTCCCATGGCCCAGGCTGCATGGCCCATTCCTTCTGCGGCCAGCAGGCTGGAGGTGTCCTGAGCATCACACCGAGTGATGGGGACCCCAAGGGTCAGGTCAGGGCAGGCACCCTGCTGGCCAGATAGTGGCCGTGGAGAAACAAAACCCATCTCTTCTTTTTCCAGAAAAGCCAACCGAAGATGGCAGCCCAGCCCTGCTGGTGCCGCCTCGCTCTCAGGAGCGCGCTCCCCCACCAGTGTCCCTCAAGACCATCGTTGAGCGCAAAGGCTGTCACCCTGAGGCTGCAGCTCCCCAGGAGCCAGCGGAGGCTTCAGCTTCTGTCCCCGAGGAGACCGGTCCTCTGGGATCTGCCGTCCAGCCCGACTCCAAGCAACACGCCAAGGAGCAGAAGAGCAGTCGTGGCGAGAGCGGCACCCAGCCCCGCGGCCCGGGCTCCTCCATGGGGGCCTCAGGGTCAGGGGGCGCCGCCCACCTCTCGGGCCCACAGTGCTCCTGGCTGGACGAGCCAGGCCCCCTCCGGCGCTGGACTTCCCTGACCAAACTCAACGTGACCTTCCAAGATGACTCCGACTCTGAGGACGAGGAGTACTACAGCGGCCTGGAGCAGCAGGAAGAAGACCAAGAGGAGGAGGAAGAGGAGGAAGAACGGGCTGCTGAGTGTTCTGCGTCTCCCTGGCCAAAGCTGCTGCAGGACCTGAGATTCGTCCTGCCCGAGACAATTTTTGAAGAGGACGAGGAGGGAGGCTGTGAAGAGGGTGCCTCCCCGGAGCCCTCGTCCCCAGCCCTGTCTGTGAAGTCCTCAGAGTCTCTGCATGGCCCGGGCCTTTCAGCCCCACAGAGCTTGCAGAGCAGGGGAGACCTGTCCCGATGGGCGGGCCTCCCAAATCTCAGCCCGCCTGTCAAAGGCGCTGATTTCTGGCCCCTGGAGCTGGGTGGCCAGCAGGGTCTCAGGGCCCCTCCCCCACCTGCCTCAGAGCCCCTGGATCCCGAGCCCAGGCAGGCTGTGCCAGCCCTGGGAGCAGGGCTGAAGACACCCTCCCTGCATGGGAGCCCCATGCACTCTGGGGACACTCACGGGCTGGAGCCTGCAGGAGCCAGCCCTGTGCTGGGAGACCAGGCCCGTGTCCTCGCCCTGGCTCGAGGCCTCCTTGCTGCCCACTCCATGGAGCAGCTGGATGTGCGTGGGCACCTGGAGGGGAAGAACAGCCCACCAGGTGTCCAGCTCAGACGGGCCAGAAGCCTAGCCTGTCTAAGCACAGCGGCCACCCCGATGGACAAGGCTCCTCTCTAGAGCGCCTCTCCCCCATGCTGAGGCCTCACCCTAGCTCAACTCGGCCAGAGTCTAGCTTCTCTATGCCTGGTGGCCTCCTCGATTGACAAGGCTCCTCTCTGGAGCTCCTCTCCCCCTCCCTGAGCCCACCCTAGCTCCACTCGGCCAGCATCTAGCTTCTCTATTCTCAGGGCCTTCCCGATTGACAAAGCTCCTCTCTGGAGCTCCTCTCCCCCATCATGAGGCCTCACCCTAGCTCAACTCAGCCAGAATCTACCTTCTCTATGCCCAGCGGCCTCCCTGATTGACAAGGCTCCTCTCTGGAGCTCCTTCCCCACTCCCTGAGCTCACCCTAGCTCATCTCGGCCAGCATCTAGCTTCTCTATGCCTGGTGGCCTCGCTCCTCTCTGGAGCTCCACTCCCTCACCATGAGGCCTCATCCTATCTCAACAAGGCCAGCATCTAGCTTCTCTATGCCTGGTGGCCTCCCCGATTGACAAGGCTCCTCTCTGGAGCTCCTCTCCCCTCCCTGAGCTTCCTCACCCTAGCTCAACTCGGCCAGCATCTAGCTTCTCTGCCTGGTGGCCTCCCCAATTGACAAGGCTCCTCTCTGGAGCTCCTCTCCCCCTCCCTGAGTGGCCTCACGCTGGCTCATCTCGGCCAAGGAGCCAGTCCACTGCCACAGTTGCTATGGGCACCCTCAGAGCAGGAGATGAGATAGGACATGAACCCAGGCACCTGTGGGCTGCCACATACCCCTCCTGCCTTCTTGAGGGAACCCTGGAACTTCTGCCCCTTGTTGATTCTGTATTAAATGGTTTCAGAATGCCTTTGATTTTGTGACCCCTGGAGCCGAGCTGCCACACAGGGTCCCTGAGTCCCTTGCAAGAGGCTGGAGGTGCCACAGCCTCCAGATGCAGTCAGAGACCCGGCTCGGGGTGCTCCATCACTTCCTGAGATTGACCTGTGCCCAGCGTGGACCAGGGGAAAACTGGAGGAGCAGCAGTGGCTGGGTACATGTGGTCTTTGGGACAGTTCAGGAGTGTGGGCCCAGCCAAGGGACCAGGCCCATGATCACCTCTGTGCACGCCCATGATCACCTCTGTGCACTGTCCTGGGTGTGTGGGCACCAGGTTCCCACTCTTCTTTCCTCCCTGCCCCATCTCAAAATCCAGCATCTCATGGCCTGAGCCCGCGAGAGGACCCCAGGGCACTTCTGACCACAGACCAGGATGCCAGTGGGTGGAGACAGCCCAGAATGTCCAGGTGGCCCTGGTGGCACACCTGGCTGGCCAGATGCCCACATGCCTTCTTGCAGCTCAGGCCTCCTGGGCTGCTGTCACAGTGGGTTCAGCTTCTCCAGGTCATGCTGTCACTAGGGGTCATTTGCATGGAGAATGTGTCCCCTGATGTTGGGAGAAGAGACTCCTGGCTCAGAGGCTCCTGGCCTGGTGATTCCATAAGGAAGGAGTCTGGAACCCTGCCTTGGGCAGAAAGAGCACCCCAGTTCTCCAAGGGTCCCTGACACTTGTAGCCTCTTCCTCAACCCACACGACCTCCAAAAGGCGACTAGGCCCTGTTCATCAGAAGCCACCTGGGTCATCCCAATGGGGCAGGTTAGGCCATAGCCATTTTCCCCTGGGTCTGGAAGGCCCAGGATTCTCTAGCTGTTGAGTCTGGTTTGGAGTTGACCACTCTGTACTCCGTTCTTGAATGAGCCATGGCTGTGTCAGTGGCAGGACCCCAAGGCTCAGAATTGCTGGTCCCCACAGGGTGCTTTTTGCAGAATCACGCTGAGGCCAGAAGCTGACGAGACAGAGGGTGACAAGTGGCTACTGTGCTGATGACTCATCTCTCCAGGCTGGAGAGCCACAGCCATGGGCCAGTCCTGAGCCTGCTCCTGTTCTCCAGTACTCAAGGCTGGTCCTCTTGTTCCTGGGAACCATAAGGCCATATTTTGGACTCTTCACCTGCTTCTTCTGCTCCTTATCTGGGGGAAGATGTGAGCCCGATGATGAGCTTACAGGCAAGGTTGCTACAGGGCAGGCAAAGTGATGGGAAGGCCCCTGTCCAGGTCAAGCCTGTGCTGTGCTCCCTGCTCTGCCCTGGCTTCCTGGGTGGACCGCAGTGTACTCAGAGACGTGCAGGCAGTCCACCTGTCCAGGTGCAAGCCCTAAACACTGTTACTAATGGGAACGCACACCTAGAGACTTTCCTGGTGCCTATGGCCTCGAACCATCCTCCCCTGGCCAGCCATGTGTAGGGTGACCTGCAGGCATCCGTCTCCACTGAAAGCCACCTGCCTTTGGTGACAGTCCTTTGCCCTCTCCTGCAATGGAGATTTCACAAACCTGGTGCTCTTTCTTAAGAAGACTTCTTCCATTGTATCAGTTTGCTTTCTTGTCAAAGATCTGATAACTGTATTCGTGAAGGTCTCTTCTGGGGTTACCATTCTGACTCTCACCAGTCCCAGGCTGTCTCATAAGTTAGGGCAGCTGTGACACATCAGTCCTCCAGTGTGTTCATCTTCAATTAAGGGCGGTGGGATCTTCTGGGTGTCTTCATCCCCACATACATTTTAAAATCAGTTTGGTAATTGGAAAACATCTTGATAGGATTTTTTAAAGATTTATTTATTTCAAAGAGTTACACAGAGAAGGAGAGGCAGAGAAAGAGAGAGAGAGAGGTCTTCCATCTGCTGGTTCACTCCCCAATTGCCCACAACAGCTGGAACTGTGCTGATCCGAAGCCAGGAGCCCCGAACTTCATCCGATTCTCCATACGGATGACAGGGGCCCAAGCACTTGGGCCATCTTCTACTGCTTTCCTATGCCATAGTAGAGAGCTAGATTGGAAGAGGAGCAGCTGAGACTCGAAGCAGCGCCTATATGGAATGCAGGCACCCGCTACCTACACCACAGCGCTGGCCCCATTGATAGGATTTTGATTAAGACTGTGTTGGTCTATCAAGTGAAGAAATACAGATATCT